TAAATCTAAAGAATTCCACTTTATGTCTAAAGAAATCTTTTGTGTGGGAGCAGGTCTTTAGCATAAGCCTTCCCTGTTGTCTCAGTCTCCATAGTGAGTTTGATGGCTGGCTGAGTCTACAAATCGAGTTCCAGGACTATTACACAGAGAAATCTTGTCTCAAAAATTAAAGCAAAACAATATGTTTAATGATGTGGTAGATATCACTTTATTCACAGTTTAAGAAAACGAAGGAGCGGCATCACATAGCTATTTCCTATTAGAACACTTTATAGTATAAAAGGAAAAATGTTAAATCAAACTGGTAAAAATGTGCCTACCTTAGAGTATATTGGTAATGGGCTCTGTAAACACTGTAACCTGCTTGCTACCATGGAGAATGGCGGAGCAGCTGGGGAAGTGAGTCAAATGTCTCCTGAGCTGTGAGAAGGATGAGGACATAGCCCACTCAGCTACTGAACTCCAACCTAAGGTTCACATTAGTTCCTCACATGACTGTCATTAGTGCAGGAAGCAAAGTCTGGGTTCTGTTGGCCCTGTTAAAGAGCCCTTCACAAATTCCTGTCCAGATGGAAGTCCTGACTCTCATGTTCTCAGAAATTAGGTTGTCAAAACATCTGAGTTTGGGAAAAAATTAATGATTGTGGTTTTCATAGAGTGAAATTGGCTACAGGCTTATTATTTGAAAATAATAGATTCATTGACTATCTGGCTAAAAGCTGCTTAAACTCATTTTCCTGCACCATATGGAGGGATGGCCTGTTGACATAGCTGTGTTAGCCTATGAGCAACAAAATGCTTACTCTCCAATAAGCATGCCTCATCTCTATTTTGCTCTCCAGTGAGCATGCCTCATCTCCATCTTGCTTAAAACAATGACAATGCAAAAGGCAGCAAATATTGTGCTTAGAAAATGTGCCTTGAAAAAAGAAAGAAAGAAAAAAAAAGAAAATGTGCGTTGTATCAGGGTGGTGGCACATGCCTTTAATCCCAGCACTTGGGAGGCAGAGGCAGATGGATCTCTGTGAGTTCAAGGCCACCCTGGTCTACAAGAGCTAGTTCCAGGACAGCTATGGCTATACCGAGAAATCCTGTCTCAAAAAAAAAATAAAAGAAAATGTGCCTTGTATTCATTTTTGTTTGAAAGTACTTGTTGAGATATTTATAGATTGTCATGCAGTTTAAGATACAATATGGAATGGTTTTACTTATTATAAGTTAAATTTATTCATTGATAGTTTCATATAATTATTCAAAGCATTCTGACCACTCTGGGCCCCTAGGCCTCTCCTATCCTGCCCCAGCCCCTCCCTGTCTTCTACTTAGATTTCCTAGCTCCTGCTGGCCTCTTCAAGTCCCTTTTCGAGGAGAGATAGATGCAGGGGTGAGAGAGTTGGCTGTTATACATTGTTAGATACAATGAAAGGGAAGGAACACGGGTAAGGATAGACATGTGTGGATGGGATGGCAAGCAGTTTGCATCAGATCTAAGAAATGGGAACTTTTTCTTTTCTTTTAAAATCTTTTTTTTTTTTTTTAAAATTTTTTTTTTTTTTTTTTTTTTTTTGTTTTCAAGATAGGTTTTCTCGTTGCAACAGTCTTAGCTTTCCTGGAAATAGCTTTGTAGACCAGGCTGGTTTCAAACCCACAGAGATCCACTTGTATCTGCCCCTGGAGTGCTGGTATTAAAGGCGTGAGTCATCTCTGCCAGAGCAGGAACTTATTCTTAATTGCAAATAGAAACTTTATTTTTCAAAGACTTAACAGAGGACAAACAGGAACTTATTCTTTAACTACAAACAGAAGCCTTAACCTGCACAGGACAAACAGGAACCTCTTCTTAATTACAAATAGAAACCTAACTTGCAAGACTTAACATAAGACAAACAGAAACTTCTTACCTGTCTTAACTACAAACAGAACCTTTAGCCTGTAAGGTATATTGTTCCTGTTTTGGTCTCACAGAAGCGTTACATCAATAATCAATGTCTAATTTCTAGCTACATAAATATTTACTTAAAAATCACCTATAAACTTACATTGTGGATTTAATGTCAGCAATTTTAATATGATTATCACTTACTCTGATGTGTCTCAATATAAAAGGAAGAGGATACAAAGAACTTGTGAAACATTTTTTGGAAGTGTAGACATTATAGTTCAACACTAATTTAAAAAAAAATTTCTACCCATTCTCGGGCTAAATGAACAATCGCCTCATCCCACTGAAGTGGATGAGACACTGGAAACAACACAGGGAAAGACAACAACAACATGACACTACTTCAAGTACAACACATCCATACAGATAACCTAACCAGAAAAGTGAAGATGGGAAGGGGAATGCTGTAGGGTAGGGGAAGCCTTAGAATTAAATCTGCTGGCCAATTATTTTCTAGTTTTTACTAACTGAACTGTATCACTGGGGGGAAAGCACATCAAAGAGATTTTTGTTTACCAAATATTTCAGTTCAAGGACTTCTGGCCTGATAGCATAAGAACTGCTTGCCAGAAGTCAGATGAGAGTGGGCAACTAAGCAGGTCTTTAGAAAGGTGTCTTTT